CCCGTTTTGGCATTTGTCTCATTTCTGAATCACCTTTAATATTGTGAAGAATTAACCGTTTAAAATGGTTATCAACAATTGGTTTTTTTCCACTATTTTTTCTCACCAGATAATTGAAATTCCTAGTTAATTTTAATCACTTAAGACAATTCTTGATACAAGTCTTTGATCATTTAAGAACATGTGTGATTTTAGGAATAGATAAACCTTCTTTTCGTAGTACTTCTACAGTATGACGTTCACCATCCGTAAGATCTTTTTTGCATCCCATTTTTTACATAGGCCAGAATCAAAAAAAAATTTTTGTTTAAATAATAAATTAAACAAAAACAGACGTCTTTTGTTAATGCGCAGCATTGATACACGTTCAATTTAATATCATAATTGTTCATCACAAAAGCGAAATTCGATTTATCACCATCGGGTTCAATTTTTAAATACCCCTCTGTACGTTTGATTTGTATTAATTAATAGGATTATTATGGTATCATATCATTATGATGTTATTATTTATTTATCATCACGGAATTATAGGTTGTTTTTTTTCTGTTTTTTTTACTTTATAACTATTTAATTAATATGGTATATCTGATCCGTCGGACTTCAAAGAATGACTTGGGTGAGTTTACGCTTCGATTTTTCGAAGATGTACAGTAAATGTGATCATCGATTTACTGTAAACCGTTTATACAGTATCGTGTTTTGTAACTAATATTGTGAAGTCAATTCATGGAAAACTTCATATTCGAGAATAATTGATAGATACTATAGATAATAGTGCTACCAGCTGTACAAATAAAAAATGATACAGTACAAAAATGGGATGACAACTAATTTCTATTTTACACCAAGTCAACAAAAATGTATGGTTAATTATCGTGCATTTAGTACACTTTGAAATATTAGTTGATTCACCGTGAATATGTAACCATGTGTAAAATATGGTATGACATCGTGACTATGCTCCATGTGGTCGTTGTGAAAATATGGAATTATAATACAAAGGTTTTGGTTGTAACGATTTCGGCTGATCATGGGAATACTCACCATCATCTGTAGGTGTTGTTTTCACGTCAGCTTGAGGGTGGAGTGTTTGTTGCGGCTTTTTATCTTCTTTGAAGCTTTCCTCTGGCAGTTTAACTAGTGGACGAAAACTTTTTTCACTAAAACCGAATCCACAACATCGTATGATTCCCATGATCACAATCAACACACTGAACCCGAATATTCCCGCGTAACTTATCATCAAAAGAAAACCAAACTTTCTGATGGTGCAAGCTACTCCCAATTGCTGTTTGGAGTACGATCCGGGATCAGCAAGACACATCAAAGGTATTGATCCCAAACTACCTAACAGGTATCGGGCATATAGCACTATGAATAAATTGAATGTTAACAAATAATTCGGTAGATATTCGTCAAGCTAATTGAATCGTAATGTATACCAGGAATCACTATCCAGGCAATAAAGAAATATCTAAAGCATATCGTGAACATCGTATTAGAAGTGAGAAAGAGTAGTAGTAGTAGTTTAGGTTGCATTTGTCAAACACTTACATGTGTGATTTTATTTGTTCTCTCGGCCTTAAAAGGTCGTATGATCCTCGGAAAATGGCGCAGGACATTGTGACTAAAAAGTTTCATTTAATTTTCGAGCAAAGAAAGAAAAAAGAAAGTAACGACAAACTTGTCATCACTCACCGTCTTTAAGTAGCGTTGCAACCGTCAATGCCAGGTACCTAAATTTATCGGAATTCAAGCATTTGACAGAC